CAGTATTTACTTTATCAAGAACATTGCCTTTTGCTTTTGACATGTGATTTCTTTTTAATACATTAACACTTGTATCCCTTTATTTTTCAATTTATGGCACTTAAACTATTGAATAAAATAAATAAAATAATTAAAAAAAATTATCAAGTCTAGTATGTCTGAAAAGACATCGTCATCAAGTACCTTAACTGACGATAATATCAATTAATTTACACCTAAGTGTACAGTTCATAAAATAAATAATGATTCGTTATATCTGTTGTCTAATTCTTATAAAAATAAATTGTACTACATTTGAAGTTGAGATGAAGAAAAATAACTTTCAATTAAGATGCTATCGACTTCTTGCACTAATCAAAGAGGATTAGTTCTGTTTTTACTCCCATTAAGTAGCACTATAGAAAAAAACAGATATTTATATATAATGAAAAGTATTAACAAATACTCAATAGTAATGAAATTTATCATCGAATTTAATTGTTCCTTATCAATTTTGAAAATTTACTACCGTTTATGTCTTGTTTTATTGGATTTTATGTCATTTGAAAATGATTAAAACTTTCTACTGAACTTTGAAAAAAGTATTTATTCTGGGCAGTAATGAAAAAGATAAACTTCTTTTTTTCTACAAAGAAGTATTTTTAGTTTGTTTAAATTTATTGCAAAAATAAATAAATAAATAAAATAAAAATAATAAGTAAATAGGTCAAAATAAAAGAAAGAAAAAATTGTAAGCGTGTAAAGTTTATAAGAAGATCAACTAAATTAATTTCACAGAGGATTACTTGAATTGAAGTAAATATTTTAAATTTTTTAGAGTCAGCATAAAGGATAATTTCATTAAGTTTTGACATTTGTATAAATTTTACATACTACTTTTTCACATTCTTGTAAAATTTTTAATTAACAGAATATATATAGCTGAAATATAAATAATTTTTTCTGCTGAAGAAAGTTATTTATTTATAATAAAAATGTCATAATTAATATTTGTATTAATAATATAAACTATTAATTCATTATACTTTTGCCCACTAGTAGCCAAGTGGAGAAAACCCCCGAATGCTGGTAGTTTGTCATGGGTTTATGCCTTACCAACAGGCTGGAATTATGGAGTTTTCTGAGTTTTTTCATGTCTAACATATAAATAGGGGACAGTTTCTTACAGAAAGTCCTCTGGGAGGTGTCCTACCTAGGCAGATCAGCCATATGTTTAGTTGTTTTATTCCTTTCAAGTGTGCTTGTGCATTATATCTTTTGTATCTGTTGTAAATAACAAACTTTCTTACAATTACATCAGCATCGCATATAATTAATTATTTAACAAATTTATAATGTTCTAGTGAGAAAATAGTCTCCCTTTGCCCTGAAATACAATGGTAACTTTTAAAAATAATAATCTTTGAAGAGTAATTCAAAAATACTCTAATTAATTTTGCATACATTCTAATTTAATATCAAAACAAATTTTGTTTTTTAATTCATGTTTAAAACTAAATTAGAATGATAAGTTTTACATATAACACCTATGCATCCTCTACACGTTGTGTACACGTAGGAGATGCATACATCTTATTTTGCAGGCTTTTAGACTACAGAAGTGAAAAGAAACAATGAACCTTTCATATTATAATCTGATATAAATAAAATATTCAAAGATCAACATTATAACTTCCAAGTTATATTGTTGATCTTTGAATATTATAATATTTGTGTATTTAAGAGAAGTTTTACAAAATTATTTTCTAATAAACCACAGAAAAATTCATAAATATTCTTAAAAACATAAATAAGAATATTTTATATTTTATATGTATTTTCTTCAAATGTTAAATTTAATACAAACAATATATCTTTGTAAATTTTATATACTTTCAAGTATTTAACAATTTCATCTCAAAATAATTCTTAAAATATAAAAATCCAAGTGATCTATTTTCATTCTGATATCTCTTCCTTAACTTTTATCTTTTAATCGTCAATATAAGTTACATTAAGTTTTAATTAAGTGATAAGCTGAATGTAAAAAAAAAAGAAATGTAACAGTTATATTAATTAAGGCAAAAATGAAGAAGAAAATATATGAACTATGTTCAATCTATATATAGTAGATATAAGTTTCTCTAATATATCATTTATTACTCCATTACAATTTTTCTCAAATCACAATGTCTAGCTTAGTATGAATTTTTACCTATTTATCATTGATCATAACTACACATTAATTACATTAACTATCTGCTTACATATATAGAGCATAATTAACAATCATTATAGTTTATTTCGAGAAGTGTCATAGCAACTTAACATACTTTACAAAGAATAAAATTAATAAAAATTTTAAAGCAAAAAAAAAAAAAATTATTCTATTCATATCCAACATTGACTTGCATAAAAATAGCTTTAATATAAAATTAATGGAGCTTAATCATAATTACACTCTCGATTTTCTTGATAAATCTTTCTCGTGGGATATCAACTTCCCTTCGTATTCTCATTTGATCTTCTATATTTATGTATTCATTAAAATATATTTCCATTAAAACTAACAAATTTTATATTATTTGATCATATATAAATTTAATCAATGCAATTAATAATCTAAAGATAACTCATTATTGCAATTATTTCATGTAAAAATAAAAAAAATTTAAATTAGATATATTCAGATTCTAAATTATGAGCAGAAGAAACATTAGATATACTGTATTCACTACTACTTTTTAAATTAAAATAACATCACTTTATTGTCTGTACCAACATTTGTCCACCTTACTCAAATCAATGGAAGTTTAGATCAAATTTCAGTTGCCAACTATCAACTGCCTGTCAGTTATAAATGAAACATCATGATGACTGTTCTTACACAGCATACAATTATCGAAATGGGCTTGACTAACAAAAATATATACAGGAGGGTGCAAAAATACAGTTGTGAATCTGAGAAATACATATGTACATATTCACCCAGATTCCTTACTTGTGATTTAATTTAAGCATAAAAATAAGTGTTTTTTTCCAGCATTTTTTCCATAATAACAACCATATATCTATAAACAAAGGTTTCTTCTTCCAATAGTGAGACTAATGATCTTTATCACATCTTAATTATCCACAATAAACAAAGACCAAGATTAAAACAATTCACTTCATTCACCTATTTAACTATGCATTTCAAATTGGTATTTTCCAATCCCTCATCATTCTCGCAGCTTTAGTGTCTAGCGCTGTTCTTGCAGATAATTAAGAATGACGTGATAAAGATCACTAGACTCGCTACTGGAAGAAGAAACCTTTATTTACAGTTATATTTGTTTCATTTTAATAATTTTATTAAATGTTTTATGAACTGTATATCTACATTTGCTCCCCATATATAAGCTTCAACTATTAATCAATATTCATCTAAATTTTTGAGTTTATTCCATATTTTCCGTAAGCTATTGCATTAAATAAAATTATTAAAGCAGCTATTACCATCCAAATGCAATTTTTTAATTAAATAATACCCCAAATAATTAAATGCAAGCATTAACTCCATAACATTCATTATTTTAAATACAAATATGTAAACACACAATTAATAAATTTAATGAAAGGAAACAAAATCTGGTATCGAAATCTTAAATTTCATAAATAAAATTACATCTATATATATAACCCATTCAACTGTCCGTCTGTCCCGTAACCATTTGAAAACGGACACTAGAGGCGCCCCTATCATGTATCATATTTCAAACATTCAAATTAACAATTTTAATTCTTATTTAAATTAACGATATAAATTTTTATTATTCATTTTGCCAATAAATTATTATTTGGTCAATATAACAATATAAATAATTCAGTATATTTGTAATAGGAATTTATTATTTCAGGGGCTTATATCTCTCGAAGGGTCGCGAGTAGGGGTATGGCTCCTTTCACTTTATTGTTAATACAGGGGTGTACGATTTGGGGGTTCGCCACCTCTTCATTCGGAGAGTAAATCTTACCATTGGGACTTTAACGGAACTGTACAGCATATTGATAGGAACAAAAAAGTCAAAGGAACCGTGCCTCATGGAAATTTGTAAATAACGCCCACTAGGGGGCGTCCTGGGCTACTAGTTATTAAGAAAATAATTATGATGCAATTAATACCGATTAAGCACATATAAATTAAGAGACATAACTTGAATACAATTAAGTAATTCCATTGTAAGCATCATTTCAATAGCAAATTTTTGTGAACAATTTTTTTTTTACTTCCCGGCTCTTACACATAACAGAGAAAAAGCATGGCAATCGATCAAAAAACGACCCCCCAAGATTTTTGCATTTTTGGACTCGGGACCTCGAAACTTCGAAGAATGCAAAAAAATTCAAGTTTTTTTTTCTGTATATATGGACGTTAGCGTGTGGGGAGAGGAACAATTTTGAACCTCTTTGAAGCTTAATAACTCCCATACCTTTTGACGAAAATTTCTAAAATTTTACAGGGAGGTTTGTGTATTAAAGGGATCAATGCTATTAAATTTTGGCAGTTAAAGGTCGAGGAGTTGGGGAAATCGTGTGTCGTATCTTGATTTTAATCATTATCATTCACAATTTTTTTTTTTAAAACTCATCTGTACAATCAAAATTAAGCTTTTTGCCATATTATAATAATTAAAAACGTTTTTAATAAAGCATAACAGATGGCGTCACACACGCAGTTTTAAATGTTGCCGGGAAAGTTAAGCAACTCACTGCTGATATATTTTTTTTTTACATTAAATAATTAAACGTGGATGAATAAATAATTTTATTAATCCTATACAAAAAGTATATATATATTTATCTATTTATTAAAACACATTCTACAATTTAAATAAAATTAACTTTATGAAAAGAACTTATCACATTATATACATTTAGATAAGATAAAAATCAAAACATTCACCTTTCTTTTAATGATAATTAATCTAAATCGTCATATTAACAGCTTATAAATCGATTTAACGTAATTAAGCACATACCTAAGCTATATTTTCACATCTTTGTGACGATGGAAGAGACGATCGGTCGCAGAGCAAGCCTTGTTTTCAAACGTATCCACCTCGAAGACAATTAAGATAAAATACTCAACGCATACGCCATAGATTACTTATAAGAATTTAAACACCTCATAAACAACAATTACGCATTCGTCAATTAATAAAAACTTGATGTTTGGTTCCTCGATGAAAATCATAACAAACTCATCAAGATTTCGCATCCGCCATTACGCACTTCTTCCCCATCGGCAATAAATACTCTCCGACCCTTATCTTTGTTTACTAACTAATAAAAACACGGCGAAATTAATCGATAAAAATCAACTTTTATATATTTCGACGTGACGTGTATTAATCGAATAACCGTTTTAGTTTCGAGCGTGAAAAATTTACTTATTAGTATAAAAATCCCGTTTGGAGATTATAAAATGGCGACTGTATTTGTTGTTATCGATACGGATTATGGCGAGTTCGTCTGATTTTTACCAGGATATTTGGTGAGAACGGCGTTGGTTTATTTTTCTTTTAAAGTAATTTTCGAAATTGATAAAAGTTACGTTAAATTACGCGTTTTTTTCGAGATTTCCGCTCGTTTTAATTACGTACGCCGCTTTTTACGAATTAAAAAAGTCGTAACGCAGTTTAAAACTTGTTAACAACTTTATTATTGGGTATAATTACTCGAAAGGTTTTCGAGGAAATATTATAATAGGGAAATACTATTTAGGATGCGATGCGTGTATATTGTCACATTGTCAGTACTTAAATATCTTCATTGAGAAATTATTCTTAAGGTATTTAAAAACATTATTAAAAAAAAAAAAAAAAGGTAAGATGGAAACTCTCAATAAGAGATTTCCCACTTCCAGAATTGCAGACTCCCTGCACGAGCTAAAAGAAAAGTCAAAGAAATCGTGCAATCGTCGCGATATATTTGCCTCCAAATATTGGTTTTTACCGCGTACCGGTACCGCTGCCCATTCTCTGCGCTCCACGTCGTTCCGGAGTCTCTGTCGCTCGCCTCGACTGATACTCTGCAAGTGATTGTGCACTTCAGTGCGAGTACCGAAGTGCCCACGTGGGGCAAGCCCCTACGTCCCAAAAATGGTAGATGTTCGCTTATGTAGCCCTAATGGCAGTATCGTGTTTAACAATCTAGCCCACACGACTGTGCTGGCTTCAAGTAGCCACTTGCTTGTTTGTGGATGTTATATAGTTTTAGGGAGGATAGGGGCTTGCAACCACTCACACGCCAAGGTACAAGCAGTAGCGAGCACAGAGGTGCGTGTCTACGTGCAAAGTACGTAGGATAGTTGTAGACTGATGTGTGTTAAAAACTGACCTTTGGAGACAAATATCACGCCAAGGGTCAACAGTTATGGGGTGGTGTGTGTAATTTATGTAAAAAGTACAAAATAAAACATCAATTTCACTAAAAAAGTAGTGAAAACGACTGGTGCCCCGTTAACGGAGGTGCCGCCATTAGGGCTACCTAGGTGAACATTTACCCAAAAAACTATATAATGTCGAGTACTCTTTGAATGATCGAGTGAGCTACTCCGTTCGGTGATGTAATTGTACCAAAAAAGAATTCTTGCTAGTATTTAAATTGATCTTAACATACAAATGGTAACATCTTGATAGTTCCGGTTGATTGGAAATGAAACGACCTGGAAGTGTACGGAATGTATATACGATGGAAACCATTGACAAGGCGTTAAATAATGTTTTCTTTATTTTATAATAATTAATATGGCCATTGTTACAGTAATAATATATTGCACTTAGAATACATGGATGTCCTGTACAGTCTGGGGTGAGTGGCAACTAGAAGTATCTGCCGCTATATCATTTAGATCTGTTTTTTAACCATCAGTATGCAGAAAAATATTTGACCATACTGATGCTGGTGCAGTTGATTATGGATGATGATCAAACAGTAATCTGGAGTTACTGTATGTACTTTGTTATGTATGGTAACTATAGAATCATATATAAGCTTAATGAATAAGCATGATTTATATTCATATATAATTATCGTTCCATGTAAAATTATCCATAATTTTACTGGTCTGAAATGAGATAAAGGTTGAAAAAAAACTGATTTAGATAGTAAGTATATTTAATGACTGATGTCATCCCACTGGGCAGTGGTTTGTAAATGGTTTGTATTTTCATAAAAAGATCTCCATCTCTGTCTCTTCTTTTCCTTCTTGGAAATCATCGTATGAAAATCCTTTCTGATCTTACAAACATCATTTCACAACACTAAAAAAATTGAAAGTCCATGTTAGACCTTTTGGTATGCTCACAATTTCAGTGTATGGTGTTTTGTCACACACTTGATTTGAATTACCCAAATGTTAATTTTGTGTGTGTTCTGGTTGAATGTGTGTACTTTGGCTTAAGAGTGGTAGTGCCTCAAACTATATGGAACATTGAACTATCGAGGCTCTACTGTATTTACATATTTTTCTTCATAATTAATTATACAGTTTGACTCCTTTAAGTATATTTAAATTGAAAAGTAAACAAATATTTTATATAATTGATATTTATGATTAAATGTAGGTCAAGCAATGATATGATTATTTAATTGAATCCATATACAATAAATACTACTTTTTCTCATGACTATCTTATTACTTGCAGCATAATTGTGAGTAAAACTTTTTCAAAATATCTAATCTTATTGTTCATATTGATAAGATGGAAGCTTTCAAAATTTGTTGCAAGTGAAATTAAGACATTGTCTATTGTTAAACAAATGTTTCATTACATTGTCATGGATTATTTTGTTTTGAACACCCGAATCTAGTGAATGAATAGTTTCCAAGGGTGCGTTTATTTCTGAGTTAGCAGTGCTAATTCTGATAACCGGATGTGACGTCATTAACACGTGTATTCGTGCTTGCTTGTCCAATTCGAAAGTGAACACATACGCTAACAAGAAATATGGCGGTTTCCAGCCATATTTCTTGTTAGCGTATGTGTTCACTTTCGAATTGGACAAGCAAGCACGAATACACGTGTTAATGACGTCACATCCGGTTATCAGAATTAGCACTGCTAACTCAGAAATAAACGCACCCTTGGAAACTATTCATTCACTAGATTCGGGTGTTCAAAACAAAATAATCCATGACAATGTAATGAAACATTTGTTTAACAATAGACAATGTCTTAATTTCACTTGCAACAAATTTTGAAAGCTTCCATCTTATCAATATGAACAATAAGATTAGATATTTTGAAAAAGTTTTACTCACAATTATGCTGCAAGTAATAAGATAGTCATGAGAAAAAGTAGTATTTATTGTATATGGATTCAATTAAATAATCATATCATTGCTTGACCTACATTTAATCATAAATATCAATTATATAAAATATTTGTTTACTTTTCAATTTAAATATACTTAAAGGAGTCAAACTGTATAATTAATTATGAAGAAAAATATGTAAATACAGTAGAGCCTCGATAGTTCAATGTTCCATATAGTTTGAGGCACTACCACTCTTAAGCCAAAGTACACACATTCAACCAGAACACACACAAAATTAACATTTGGGTAATTCAAATCAAGTGTGTGACAAAACACCATACACTGAAATTGTGAGCATACCAAAAGGTCTAACATGGACTTTCAATTTTTTTAGTGTTGTGAAATGATGTTTGTAAGATCAGAAAGGATTTTCATACNGAGCCTTATGGGAAGTAGGACGTGGGCACTGAATGTGTCCCCAGCCGGCGTTGTAATAACCGTCGATGGTTAAGTAGTTAGATTATATACGCTGGAAGAGGAGATCGGATCGGAGGTCCGGGTAGCGTAACTGGCAACGCATCTGCACGGTAAGCAGGAGTTGTGGGTTCGAGTCCCGCTCCGGGCCGATTTTTTCTCCCAGCGGTTCCAAATTATTTAAATTAATTAAAATTATTTATAATTATTAATATTAATAAGAGATGGCGCCTAACGCTTACCTCTAGTACCAAATTGATTACGTAATTTATTTAATAATTAGCATAAAACTAGCCCGATAGATTTTCGGCAGTCTGTTAGTTGTAGTAATAATCAAAAATATACAGAAGCCCTAAACATCAGTATTATGCATTCAGGGAGACAAACCAAATAAGTGATGTATCAAATGATGCAACATAACAGATGTATATATCCATTATTGACTAAAACACTTTTTTATTTTTAGAAGACAGGAAAATAATGCAACATATCCAAATGAGCAATATAACAAGGTGCTACATTATAAATGTGTATGCTCTTACTCTGATAAGTAATGTGAATCAAAAACATTATTATTATTATTATTACTGATATCATTATTTTTCTTAATATTGTTGGCTTTATAAGCTATATTATTATTATTATGGGTTAAAATATATGAAATTATATATCAGAACAAATAACTTGTATTACCTACTTCTTATACTGGTGATGTGTGTAAAAAGATGATAATTTATGGGCTCCAGTTTTCAAATTTCAGGCCTATACATTGTCTGTTCATCTTTCATTAATCTCAAATAGAGTTAGATAGATGAAAATTGAGGACAGCTATGGAAAGCTTATTTTTAAATTAATGTATGATTAAACATTGCAGCACAGCATTGTGATGATGTCACAATATGCAATTGGTTGTATAAGTTTAGTTATTCTCATATATCTTCATTAATATGTTATATTTATTCTAATACAGATACCAAAAGGAAGTTATAAATGTAGTAGTAGTATTAGTAATAAATCTAATTTACATTTTTATATACATTTAATGGAGCACTCCTCTGACGTGTAGCATTAAATGCTACTGGCTTGAGGTACTCCTCTTTTAATTAACCCTAATTAATAAATCTAATAGTAAATTATTATTTATTTGTACAGTACATACCTACTTGATAAGAACGGGAAGAGATTAGAAAAAAATACCATCTTCAGTCTCCAGCCAAACTTGTTTCATTTAACTTAAATTAACATTCTTGACTACTTTTAATAACTATCTTTAAGCAATCACTAATTAAACACACTCAAGAAAACCTTTTAAATATGCAGCCGTATTTATTACATTCTAATGTTTTCGGTCATATTCAATGACCTTTTTCAAAAAAAGAAAAATCAAACTCCTAACTCTAAAATTTGAATTAACGATACAAGCGTTTTGAATGCTTAGAAACGTTAGAAATTTGAAACGTTAGAATGTAATAAATGCAGCTGCATATTTAAAAGGTTTTCTGAGTGTGTTTAATTAGTAAGAAATGCAATCTACGATGAGTTCTAATTGGGTTAAGCAATCACTAGTAGATATCACATATAAAAAAAAAAAACAATATTTAAAAATGGAATATCAACATATGTAGAACAAAGTATATGAACATTTGAATTATGTTCTATTGTGCAATTAACTAACTACAATGGTGGACAAAACTTTAAAGACAAGCAAAAATTCCACGTAAACAATTAGCTTAATTAAAGTTATTAATTCAATCATG